GAATGCTCGTGACTCAGTAAACGTATCGTCACAGATACAGTGTAGATCTTTGCAGTATGGTGGGCAGCGGGTATAAATTGATTTTTGCACCAAAGAGCAAAAGGGGCCGACAAGCTACTGAGGCGTCTGATTGGCCAATGTCATCAAGTAAGATGAGGTTGCAGACTGTGTTTCTTTTTCACTGGCTAACACTGGCTCAGTACTGCAGTAACCGTTTTTATCCGGGAAATGTTAAAATACTAGACAAGTTTTACCCACCAAACAATTTCGTTATGAACGAACAGCAAGTCATAATGTCTTATTTGTATTGAGGAAGCATGGTTATCTGAAAAGCGTTTTGTCGTCCATTTGTGTACCCCATTACACGAATTACCCGTTTTAGAGGTGGTCTTTTGACTAAAGATCTGTCAGATGTGGTTAACAAGTCAGACTTCGTTCTCAACTCTGAATACCTAACAACGCTACTCGTTGTGGTACCAAGGTAATGGTTTTACGGTGTATTATTTAGTTTCTAATTTTATTTTTATTTTCGTGGTAAAATGAAAATTTTAGTCGGTTTAGTTATTTATTTAATGATTGCCTTGTGCAGATTGTGTTCAGCTATAACATCTGTCAAGGTATATGGTAGCCGCAAAGCATGTCATACTGTTGTACTCCATGATACAGTAGAGCCGTAAGTTTCACAGCTTCGCCATGATCATGCCAGAGCACTGTGTTATCCGCGTTGTTCGCAAGTCATTCTCGTGTAACTCGTTTCCTCCCTGGTTATCCCGAAGTACGGGACAAGGTAAACGGAATGGTCTGATAAGTGTCAGTCAGTGAGAGAGCGATATTTACTTAGGTGAACCAGCCGTAAGGCATACGATTAATTGTTGGAACCCTGAATTAGAGAAGGAACAAGTACTAAAGGACAAAATCAGCTGTTAAACTGGATACAAACCAGGCTCACCACAGCCTGGTCCAAAATGATAGTTTTTATTTCTTAAGATTGATCAGACATGGAACAGCGAACGGAACGATTGACTTTGGTAAGTATCCGTTCGACACCTGCAACAGACATACACGGCTTCCTTGTCTTGAAACGAAGCGGCAACGTTTTTTCACTGATGAATCTTTTATAAGTAGATGCACTGAAGACCTGTTAATATTGCAACATAGTCGAAACGTGGAGCTCGTCAGAAAGTACTTATTATGCAGTATTCTTGTGCTAGCCGGTATTTCTATGTGATAGGCAAAATTTTGCAAACTGAAGTGTAGTGACTCATTTTTTCATTTGTATAAATTTTTTGTTGAAAAATATTTAATGCACATTATAGTTGACTGAATTGGATTTTGCAATAATGGCTAACATAAGCACTCCGGAATGACTTCATCAGTGGCATACCTGGTTAGTCATTGAAAGGTAATGATTATATTTTGGAGAACCCCGTCTAAAATTGCACTTACTAGCATTTTAGATTATGTATAACCATTTTTTTCTGTGGTAATAGCTGAACCTATTCCTAGTTGCTTGAGGTCATGAGTTTGCTAAAAGTCTTAATCTGCATAACCTGATTACTGGTTAATTTACAGTACCATTTTATTGTGTCGAAATGCATTTATGACACTTGACCGTGGGACATTGCATACGGTTGCTTCAGATCGTTGTACAAAGAATGGAATCAGAAGTATGAACAACTCGCAGATATG